AAAAAAAGAATATTTTGAGGCTTAAATAGGACTGCAAACGAACCGAACGGCTTGTGAGCCGCTCGACTCGAGCTCAAGTTTGACCGTACTCGAGTCGAGCTCGAGCGGCTCGAGTACGAACTCGAGTCGAGCTCGAACCTTTGTTTTGTATTGTTGAGCATCTAGTCAACCGGCTCGAGATATATGATGACATACTAAAATACCACTTATTGATAATTTTATTTTTCCACTTAAAAATTTTCGAGCCGAACTCGAACATTTTGATTTCGAACCGAACTCTAGCGATTATACTTTTTTATCTAGTAGAGAGCTCGAGCCTCATAAATCGAACTCGACGAGCTCAAACTCGAGCAGCTAAAATTATCATTATAGTACAAAACTTTAAGCAATAAAATTATCATTTAAACCCTAAAGACACCATTAACTATATTTGTTCTCTCAGCTAAGCCAACAATCATTCTTATCAGCATCTAACCATTGCTTACACTCATTGCTTACACTTACCAATATCATATAATGAATGAAAAGGATGAGAAGAAATGAACTGCTGCACCTTTAAGAACAAATTCAACCAGAGGATTGGGAGGCAATACAACGAAAAGCAGTAATTGTTTACGATAATTATTTCCTCCATTTATAACCCGTAAAATAACATAAATATCTCGCATTCGCAATACTTCACATTTGATTGAATAATCAAACCAAAATGCAGAGCAACAAAAGTTCGATGATAGCACTTAAAATGGAAGATGACTTGTTCAATGAAAATTATAAAGCAACAGATTTCTTGATGGGAAAAATTTCCCTCTACCGATGGTAGCCTCTCCAGCAATGATCACATCATATTCATCTCAGAAAACCCGAAAAAGTGAGAAAAATTGTCTCCATAAGCTACCCTGACCTACAAACAGACCAAGAAAAAACAAATAATAATATAACCAAAGCAGGCATGAATGAATGAACACTAAAATGAGCAGAAATATGTGCATACTTAGAGTCAAGCGGTAAGTCTAGCTTTCAGATCAGCAGCAACTGCATCAATGAACTCTTCAGTGTTAAGATACTTGTCTCTGCTTAACCTACACCACCAGAGAAAGAGCACAAAATATGATCACGCACAAAGAAATAACACTCATAATTAAAAAATAATAATAATAATAACAAAAACAAAAACAAGATCGAGGGAATATTATTAGTTGGGAACTCTCGAATGATTACTTGGATCCATAGATGATGAGAGCAAGATCCTTAGTCATCTTCCCAGATTCCACGACACCAATACAAGCAGCTTCAAGCTTCTCCGTGAAGTCCAACAGTTTTGCATTGTCGTCCAACTTAGCCCTACAAAACTTCTTATTCATTATTCCCAGCCAGAGCCACTTTCAAGGCGTATACCGTATACCGTATACCGTATTCATAGTAATGTATTATTTGAGCAAAATTCATATAAAGAAATCCAAAAATAATGATAAATAATATACAATAAATGAAACAAAATGATATAAACAAATCATTACCTGTGAGCAAGCCCACGAGTCCAAGCGAAAATTGAGGCAATGCTATTCGTGCTGGTTTCACCACCTTTTTGATGAACCCTATAGTGGCGAGTGACAGTTCCATGGGCTGCTTCAGCCTCGATTGTCTTCCCATCGGGGCATACCTGAAATCAACCAAACCCAATAACCTTATATAATATTCCAAACACATCGACAGCTGGTAAAAGGAAAAACACTTTCTGAGATTCATGAAATTTGATAAAACCACAGGCTTCCCATTGGATTTTGTATAGGCATTTACGACCATCTATACATAAACCGGGAAGATGGATATAAAAGAGACTCGAAACATACCAGGACAGAGGTCATCAGCCCAAGAGATCCAAATCCTGTGGCAATATAAATAGATGAAAGTAGAGTTAATTTAAGTGAAAACAAAAATAGAGAAAATTTATGATGCAGCTGTTTCTACTCTTGTTCTATCATCTCGAAAGCCACAAATTCAATTTAAATGTGACTTCGAGATTTCAGAGGTTAGCCTTCTATACCTTGTGCCAGGAAATCACTCTGCACGTCTCCATCATAATTCTTGCAAGCCCATACGTAACCTCCTTCGCTCTTTAGAGCGTAAGCAACCATATCGTCAATGAGACGGTGCTCATACCTAAAAGTTTCATATTATATAAGTATACAATATATGTACCATCACATGCAAGAAAGTTATCACTATATATATAGATATAGAATTTAAGAAAAGAAACTCACCAGATTCCTGCTTCCTCGAACTTCGATTTCCAGTTTGATTCATAAACTTCTTGGAATATATCCTTGAATCTACATAAAATTATCAAATATTTCACATCAGGAAAAGATAATCACATTGGAACAAACTGTGCTTACCTGCCAGAAGCCATAAAGTTGAAAACAAACTGTGCTTTATAGTGAGAATGCTATCTGTGCAGTCTGTGCTTACCTGCCATCATACTTCTTGAGGATTGTATTCTTTGTGCTAAGATACAACGGCCATTTTTTCTGGTATGCCGTGTTCATTGAAGCCTCAGCAAAAGCACGAATGGACTGTTCCAATGTTGCAACACAAACCCAAGTCCGTCACAAACAATAAGAAGTTCAATGCAAAAAATAAAAATGAAAAAAAAAAGTAAAATCATAGATTGACGAAACAAACCTCATCTGTGTTGTACATTGACAAAGCGACCCCACCAGCACCAGTAAAATTGAAGACCTCTAATTCTGTCTTTTCATCCTTCCCTTCTGGAACTGCTCACAAGTCGACATATTTGCTTAACAAATCAGTTGCAACAAGTAACAAACATAACTGACAGAACATACGAAACATTGCATGTTTCAAGTCAGACAAAAAACTGCAGAAGCAATAAAGTAGAATGGAAACAGAAAGCCATACCAAACACCAATTTGAGCTGTCCAGCGCCCTTGATTACTGTATCAGTTGCTCGGTATTGATCTCCAAAAGCATGCCTTCCAATGCAAATTGGCTTAGTCCATCCTGTGAGGGGACACAAATAAGTCAACACGCATGGACAAAACTAAAGCTATATGAATGGTGAACACAAAACCAAAATGGAGATGTGTTGTACCCGGTACAAGTCGAGGAACATTTTTGCACATAATTGGTTCCCTGAAGACCGTGCCTGCAAGAAAATCCAATCATCAAAAAAAGAGATACAAGCACACAAGCATTTTACAGTAGTGGATAAATAGATGGACCAAATTCACTTACCGTTCAAAATGTTCCTAATTGTACCATTCGGACTCTTCCACATGCTCTTCAAGTTGAACTCCTTCACACGTGCTTCATCTGCAAATATTTTCAATTTGAAAGCATGATAATCCATTACATGGTCTTGACTATATTTTAAAGAGATCCAGATAAATAGCACTCGATAATATTAAGCTTCCTTACCTGGAGTGATTGTGGCACACTTAATCGCCACATTGTACCTGAATACACATGAAATAGACCGGTCAGATGAGGTAAGACACAAAACGCCACCCGGCACAACCTATATTCAGTTAAATCACATACTTCAGAGTAGCTTCAGCACTCTCAACAGTAACTTTATCATCCGTGGCATCACGATGGGGAAGGCCGAGGTCAAAGTACTTAATATCCAACTCCAAGAAAGGGAAAATCAACTGCAATCAACACAATAAAACCCAAGATATGAGCTCTGTGATTAAAATTAGACGAAAATATCAAGATCCAACTCTAAAGAAAATGTATAATACCTTGTCTTTAATGAATTTCCAGATGACCCTTGTCATCTCATCTCCTGAAAACAAAAACAAAAAAAAAAAAAAAAACCCAGAGATTTAGCATAATCCTAAGACACATCCATCGACCGTGTCACATAAAAAGCTTTACAGATTAAGCATTTGAGCTCAATCGACGCATTCAAACACATGCTTGACCAAATAAAAATCAAGAACTCAACTACGTGAATCAAATTATTTCAATAAAAGTTAACATAAGCCGCAAGCTTAGGCTGAAAACAATGCATAAGGGTAACATAAACACTCATGGCAGAGGTACAAAGTTGAGATCTTTAACAATTATTTCAAAAATTCAGAGAACTCCCAAGTGGACATCGTGTACATATCTGATCTCAAGACCATTCGATCGAACACACACGAACAGCAGCAGAAGGAGTAAAGAACACAAGAAAACTCAGATTCGCCACAGCATACAGTTCATGGTAGTAAATCATATTCCATTAAAACAGATCAAGAAAAAAAAAAAAAAAAAAAAAAAAAAAAAAGGGGGTGATCTGAATCTAACCGTCCATCTCGACGATGGGATTGGCCACCTTGATCTTCTCGAAAGCCATTAATTTTCGGTCTTTTCGTTCTTCTTCTTCTGTTTTCAGCTTTTTTTTTTTTTTTTTTTT